AAAATTATCAGCCACATCATAATGAAGTGGGGTGGAAGGGAGATGGTTACAGATATGTTGGTGGGAATTGCAACACAACTCCACTGTCACACAATACGCAAGACTCATCTGCAAACCTGCACTTCCTCTGTCAGCCAGTCATGCAGTGAGCTGCAGTCACGCATCGGCGCTCTCTCTCAGCCTCATCCTGTGCGGCTGCTGGGCTCTGTAGGACAGCCGCGCAGCCTGGTGACTCCCACTGAGCATGCTTGGAGCCGGACCCCTGGCCTGACAAACAAGCGACACTCAAAGCAAACGACGGGTCAAACGCGAGGGCGTTTGGGACAACAAACAGCCGGCCAACTCCTGTTCTCCTGCTTTCAAATATTTACTTCTTTCGCAGAAAGAAAATCAATGCAGCCAGGGGGAGTGGTCTGGTCTCTCCTCCCACGTTTGGCCTACACGGCCTGTTGGGCCTGGAATCACGGGACATGGTCCACAGTGCAATCGTGCAGATCAAGCCTTATCTCAGCTGAGCCAGCAGACAAGGTCCAACAATTTAGCCTGGGGAGGGCAGGTGCAGGGTGATCGAGTGTCAGCTCTGTGGGCAGCATGCTCCTCCAGAGACAGAAAGTCATGGGCTCCAGCCCCACTCTATACAACTGGACACAAAATCCAGGACAACATTCCCCATTGCCAGTACTGATGGGAGTCTGCTGCAAGGTTGGGAGTTACATCAGAGGTTCTCAGAGCAACAGGAGTGTCACCCTGACGTTGTGTCCCTCACCTGAAGCAAAGCCATGGGGCTCGAGATGAAGATGTCAGCACGTGGGTGAGCTGGGGTTGCACTGCAACACTTAGTCATGAAAACTCAAATATCACCAGGCCAATTTTAGTTTTGCGTGCCCTGAAGGGGGACTTCATATTTTCTTACCCTGTGGTTTGACCCAGCCACATAACCAAAGATCCTACTGCATACGGAGGGGATTTCCCTGCTCTGCTGTCAGTTACTGTGTAAAACCCTCCGTGGCACTTCACAGCACACGGAAACAGGCCAATTGGCCCAACCTGATCATACTGGTATTTATGCCCTCTCACCCTTACCTATTCCTTTCTCCTTCTAATGTAGTTTCCCCTTAAAAGCTCCCTCCACACCTCAATACTTGTTCTTGTACAAATCACAAAGGAGGTGCAGCATAAATTTAACAGGTCAACCAATGCTGCTGTGGATTCACCTCAGGCTATTGAGCACTGACGATCCAGGGGTCTCATCCCTGCAAAACAAAATTCAAGGAAATGGGCCACAGCAGCAGGGGCAGCTTTTTGCAAAAAACTATTCATGAGTTTTGGGTGTTGCTGGCTGGGCCAACATTTATTGCCTATCCCTAACTGCCCTGGAGGAGATGGTGGTGAACCACTGCAGTCCTTGGGTTGGAGCGACTGTGCTGTTAGGGAGGTCCAGGATTTTGACCCAGTGACGGTGAACATAGAACATAGCTGAAATCCCAATCAAAGACATGGACTTTTGAGAGGGCTCATAACTTAGGAGATAACAGGGTGAGGGGTCAAGGGAAAGTAGAGGGGTAGGGACCGAGGGGAAGCAGAGAGAGTTAGGAGTCATGGGCAAGGACAGAGAGAGAGAGAGAGGGGTCGAGGGAAAGGGAGTGTGGGCAAGGGAAAGGGGAGAGAGAGGGGTCGAGGGAAAAGTGGGTTGGGACCCAGGGAACTGATGTAGCTGAGTGCAGTGCCAGTGATGGGAACATGTACAGGAGATTAGATTAACCTCCCAATGGAAATACTGAGAGTGTGTACAGGAGAGCCTACTAACAAACTGACAAGCAGTCAGGTGCCAGGTATCACTTACAATTACAATTACAATGTCACATAAGTACCAAGTGCAGGGAACATAGCTTGAAAGTACACACTGAGACTGCTGTTCAGATACCCAATTTGCACTCAATAACATAGTCAGTAAAGTCCTCGCAGGATGCAGTCCGAGAGATACGCGATTATTCTGCCAAATGATTCCCTGGGAGCGGCACTAAGCATCAGTGAAATGTGATGAAAACTGCTCCCCATGGTCCTCAAACAGGATGTTGCCTCCACTGACTATTTTCACATTTGAACATCTTCAAGCAGGTTCACAGCACCAAAAAGACCCGAATCAAAGTCACAAATCCCTGTGAGACTTAGTCATTGTGCACTATCCCTCCCTGAACTTCTGGGTCATCTCCAGCCTTTGAAAGTCCAACAGTATCCAGCAAAGAATTCAGGATTCAGCTTGTTCCCTATAAAGCTACAACTCAGCGAGGAAGGGGTAAGCAGCGGACCAAGAAACGAGACTGAACAACAAAGAGCTGGGGAATCGCCCCTTTCGGAGCTGTCAATCAGTTAGTGCACACAAGAGAGTACAAAGAGATACAATCCACTGGAGGCCATTATGGCCAGTGGGTGCCAAAGGGGTTAGAGTTTATCATCAACATCAAGAATGTCTTTTTAATTTGAAACATTTCCTATGTTTTTGATGCAGTAACGTTAAAAATCACTGTATGGAGTTGATCTTTTGATTTTTGGCACTCAGCAGGGTCTAAACAGACACTTATTGAGACCGATGGTCATTTTTAGAATTGATTTGATTTGATTTGATTTGATTTGATTTATTGTCACATGTATTTATTACAAAATACAGTGAAAAGTGTTGTTTAGTGTCACCACTCTCCAGTGCCATCTTAAAACACAGGAAATGAACCAAAATACAGAATATAAAGCCAGAAAATAAAACAATAAAGTTCATCTTATTGTCTTATCTCACTTGGAATTATATATATGCAATAAATAAATTATGAATGAATCCAAAATGGAGGAAACAAAGAGCACAGCAGATGGGAGGCAGGTATAGAAAATAAATTAGCACCATCATTGGTGGGAGGTTTGCAACTGCACCATGACAGGTGAATGTTTACAGAAATACTCAAATGCCAGGAAAGGCAGTTTCAATTGTAAATGTTAGAAGTGTGTGCTGAAGCAGTAACCAAGTTGATCAAAAAGTGGCTCCAAACTCAACCAATATACACACACAAAGTGTGAATCTTCCAAGATTTGGGAAATCAGAAGTGAGCGGCTCTCATTGGCACACATTGTCTTCCAACTTCTGACAACTTTGAGAAAGCAGAGAAACATTACATGACAGATCATGGCTCAGCACAAACAATAATTCCTACCAAACAATTTTTAAACATTTTAAAAATTAAATGTGCTCAAAAGCATTGCTCAGCAAGTTCTGCAGGGAGAACAACTGAACTTGGTTTCACAGATAGTATCCAACAGTAAACCAGATTACCAGCTCAAAGATTCGAAGGATCTCAAACTGACAAATTACTTCCTTCCCTCGTCCTCTCTGGTTTTAAAAGTTCCTTCGTAGGGCATCACTGGCTGGGTCAACAGCATTTATGCCCATCCCTAACAGTCTTTGAGAGGGCAATGGTGAACCACTTTGTTGAATTGCTGCAGTCTGTGTGGTTTTACACTTACAGTGCTGTTAGGGAGAGGATTCCAGGATTTTGACCCAGCAACAGTGAAAGAACGGTCAATATAGTTCCAAGTCCGGATAGTGTGTGGCTTGGAGGGGCACTTGCAGGTGACGTTCCCATGCATCTGTGCCCTTGTCCTTCTAGATGGAATAGTTCAGAAGATTCCTTCTATGGTATTTTGGCTTTCCAACACAAGTCTGGGCTGTCAGTGGTGTTGGGTGTGGCCACGTGGATTTCAACTCACCTTAGTCAGAAGGTCACAGATTCATGTTCCACTACTGAGACTCAAGTACAGAATTTAAGCTGATATTGAGGAAGTGCTGTCAGGGATGCCAATCTCTAGTTGAGGTGTTGAACTAAGACCCCATGCACTCGTGGGTGAACTTTTCCACGTACTTTTGGACAAAAGAGTAAGGCTATTCTCCCTAGCGTTCTGACACGTCCTTCAACCAACACCATGCCGTGTGGAAAATAGTAGACTAGATTTTTCGATTTTACAACAACGGCCGTGCGACATTTGGGATGTCCTGAGGTTGAGAAAGGACCTATATAAATGCAAATCTTTCAACCCCATTCATAACTTTGCAGCTTCAACTGGAGTGGTCACCTGAAATTAAAACGTGGTGCTTTTCTCTAACTTCTCACTTTTTCAGGGATGATATGAACCTGAAAAGGCACGTGCAGTAGCTGGTTTGTCAGATACATTTGCCTCCCCTCTCAATGTGCAGTGTTCACAAAGCAGAGAACCAAGACAAAGTTAATGCGCTACCAACAATTTGGCTGTAGATTCCTCTCCTCAAAGATTCTAAATGTTCAGATAAAAGAAATTGAAATCTGGTTTCAGGCAGACAGGGTTAACCCACAACTTCTATAAACAGCTACCATGAAGCTCGGGCTGATTTCTGATATCCCTGAGGCCCCTATAAATGGGTGCATTTCTTTTTTTGATGGGACTGCGCAAACGGACAGCTTTCTGAGGTCCAATTGCTACTGCAAAATAAATTCCATGAATTAGTAGATACAAAACCACCCTCCAAACAGACACTTTCGCACCATCTCAAATTCTCACTCCAGCACGCCACAACGTCAGAGATATTAAAATAAGGGTCACACCAGGAAAAGGTCCGGGGAGCAAGAGCTGGGCCCCTCTAATCAACCATTCAAAGCTCCCATCAGTTCCCTTACTGAGGTTCTGAAACTGTAACACCTCTCCCATGCTGGGTTAGGAACTTTCCTATGTTTTCCATAACCCCAATATTCTGCCCAGTAGCTTGTCAAACTCCCCCCAGCTTGGTGGGCCAAGGAGCATGTGCTATGGTCCAGCTATTTCCTGGAGAAAAGTGAGGCAATAAAGCTCCTTTTACCACTTGGAACCAAGGTGGAGTACAAATGGGTACGTGGAGGCACATCCCAAGTCCGGCATGGGCAATGGGTGCCATTCTTGGCTAAATGAACAAGGAGAAAGGACAAGAGAGGAGAAGGGCTGCTCACCTACCTCCACGGGGCCAAGCTTAGGAGCATTCGTCCACCCTTTCTGTTGGGGAGACCTGGTTGATGCAGCCAAACCTAGAGAGCAAAAAAGAAATATTATTTGCAAACCTGGGACTAACACATCATTTTACAACTGTGGGCATAGACTCCAGTTGTTTCACCAGCTCTAGCAACTACATATCCTTACATGACTATGATCAGTGAACACCAACTGACTATTCGATTCTGCAAAACCAATTAGTTTTCTTAAAGATCCTGGCAGGGTGGGGGAATGGGTTGGTGATGGATGCAAGGGAACTGTCGTGATTAGCTAAATTACCTCGGCAGAAACTACACGTGGATGGTCAACTTTGCTTACCACCACAATGGAAGATGCTTCACCCACAAAATGAGTGTGCGTACAGATGTGAGCGAGAATGTGCGAGCATGTGCAAGTGTGTGTGTGAGAGTGTGAGAGTGTGACAGTGAGAGAGACAGAGAGACTGCAACATCAGATGAGACATTAAAACAAGGCCCACTCTGTCCCCTCCAAGAATAAACAAGGAGATTCCTCCCAATCTCCCGGTCAATATTTATCGCCCAACCAACACCACAGTAAAACCAATGATCTATTCGCATTCATTGCTCTTTGTGGGACTCCTATGCTTACTTGCTGTTTCCCAATTTACAACCAAAGCCACACTAAAGTCCAATAGGACATTTGGGATACAGAAGGCATCACTGAAATGCAAGCCTGTCTTTATAGTTGCAGTCAGCCTGTTCAAGGTAGACAGCTAGGGGCTGCATGTCACTGCTCTGAGTACACACTTAGCAGAAAGGTATTCTGCTCCACACACCAACAGTCAACAACACTCAAGAAGTTCGACACCATTCAGAACAAAGCAGCCCACTTGACTGACACCCCACCTATCACCTTCGACATTCACACTCTCCACCACTTTTGCACAGTGGCAGCAATGTGTACCACATGTAATTCACCAAGGTTCTGTTGACAGCACCTTCCAAAACCTGCGACCTCTACCATCTAGAAGGACAAGGGCAGCGGATATAGGTGGCGGTGTTCCCATGTAAACTCTCCTCCAAGCCACACACCATTCTGACAATTGTATTGCTATTCCTTCACTGTCACAACAGAGGTGCCTCCCTAACAGCACTGCAGGTGTCCCTACACAACAAGAACTGCAATGGTTCAAGAAGACAGCTCGCCACCACCTTCTCAAGGGCAGTCAGAGACCGGTAACAAATGCCGGTCTTGCCAGTAGCATCCACATCCGTGCAATAATAATTGAAAGAGAGTTCACACTCTTCAGAAATGGGGAATGAGCTTATCGAGTAAATCAGACTGCCCCAAGCTCCAGTCCTGGTGTGTTCTGATCACAGCCCAAGCAGTAGTCAGGTGCTGCACTAGGTTTAAGCCCTGCTGGTAAAGGTCGCACTGTGTGTAGATATCAGGTGAGGGTTCAATTCGGGTCGGTTGTTCTGCCTCCCTGGGTAATAAGCCTGCCAATGCACACTGTCTGGACTAACAGGATGAGCAGCAGCCAGTCAGGGCGAGGTGCCAGTGAGGGCTGGTAGCTTGTGGAACAGCCAGAACAAGCAAAAAAAGGGGGAAAAAACACAGGCAGACACTCAATTCTGAGAAAGAATAGAATAGCACGCGGTTGGTTAGATGTTTGTGCAGATTTCATTTAAAAAAGCTAACAGCTTGACACCAAGTCCGGTAAATAAGCCACAAGAGAAACAGAAAGGTACACCGCACACAGTCACGTGTCAACTCGAACTGTTTACACAGAACAGTTACTCAAAATAAGCTGAGTGAGAGAGGAAACAGCAGAGGCTGTATCGCTGAGTGACGGGTGGGGGAAGGGGGCAGGGTGAGAGAGAGAAATGAGACAACTTCCTCACCTCTCCCAATGTACCCCTGCAATCCCCCTCATTCCCTCCGGCAGTCACTCTGTTGTACTTCCCATTTCAGCGGGGAAATGCTCTCATGCCACAAATCCCAAACCCTCCTGCCAAAAACTGAATCTTCGGCGAAGACATAATTGGGCTCGCTAACAAGATGGCACAGTGGCACAGTGGCTCAGTGGGTAGCACCGCTGCCTCACAGTGCCAGGGACCCGGGTTCGGTTCCATTCTCAGGCAACTGTCTGTGTGTAGTTTGCACATTCTCCCCGAGTCTGTATGGGTTTCCTCCAGGTGCTCCACTTTCCTCACACAGTCCAAACATGGGCAGGTTAGGTGACTGGCCGCGCTATCTTGCGCGTAATGTCCAGGGATGTGCAGGTTTACAGGGATAAGGTAGTGGGGGTGGGTCTGGGTGAGATGCTCTTCAGGGGGCTGGTGTTGACTCGATGGGCTGACTGGCCTACTCCCACACTGTAGAGATTCTATGCCTTATACAATAGTCATTTGCTAGTCACAGTTACACGTGGACAGGTGGTACCGCATCCCTAAAACTGTTCGCAATTGGGTTCAACTACATCTGTATGAGGAAGCTGGAAAATGTTGACAGTGGTGTAAAATATGGATAAACACTTCGAATAGAAGATCCAGAACTGTGATAACTGTGGGCATCTGGAACTTTCATTAGCAACCAAGATGTGGAACTCAGCAACATCAGGCAGCACCTCAAACTGAAGGGTTTCCCAGCTGATGACTGGTTCGCCTTAGACATTGTAATCTCATCATTTTGTAATTATGCTTGAGGTAATTTTCATCTTCACAGCAGGATTCCTTTCCGACTCATGCTGCCTTTGGGCTATCAAGGCGCAGTGCAGTAGAGAGGGAGTGCTCACTGTCTTTCAAATGAGGCATTAAACCAAGGTCCCTCTTGGGTGGATGTGAAAGACCTCATGGCACTACCTTGGAGTTATCCCCAGCGCCCTGGTCAATAACTATCCACAATCAACATTGTGAAACAAAAACATTATCATTGCACTGCTGCTTGTGGAAGCTTGCTGTATGCATGCTGGCTGCCGCATTTTGTGCATTTCAACAGTGATTGCATTTTAAAAAGTACAATAAAGCACATCAAGGAGACCCAGGATCGTAAAAGGCGCTACGTAAATGCAAATCTTTGTTCCTCACATTGATCATTTCTGTCTTCAGCGTAACCATTTACTGCTTGCAACACTTACCACCTCCCACAAGGTATATCCTACCATCCACGGACAAAGGGCCAACTTGGGCAAACCCTACACCACTCTCTTCCATGCCAGGCTTCAGGAGGTTATGCCGCTGGAATTGAGTCCACTGGCTTTGCAGTGGCGAAGGCTCCGTTCATATTGCACTGGGGAGAAATGTTGAGACTCTGGCTCAAAACCGCTAAAATCTACACTGGCCACTCTCTTGGGGTGAACCAGACCATGCAAAATGCTCAACCCCATATCTTGCCTGGCACCAGGGCACTCATTTGCATCTCCAGAACACTGTCCACCTCTATGTTCAGTTCAGTATCTCTGGTGCTGAAACTCTTGCATTTTAGATCTCTATAGTCCAACGGAGGCTGGTGACTCATCCCACGTATGCCCATGTGATAAGAACCTGACCCACACACTGGCACAGCACCCTCAACACCAACAGACGCACGCTCCCAACCCCACTCCCCGAAACTGACAGACAAATGCTGACACCTCATCGCCACAGCACATGCAGCCCCTCTGGGTACAAACCATCGCTCACATGCATGTACATAACCCTGACATACAGCCACCAGATGAGCGTATTTAATGTGTAGACATGCAGTACAGACATTTCACACTTATATATGACTAAACATTCACCATATCCCATCCAAGAATGTTATACACTCAATAATCGAAACACACTCGCATCTGGATTCCCAATCAGCCAGATGGGAATTTGGGAACTTTTGTGGCCACCTACCCCTCTCACTTGCCCAAAGTGGACCCACCGACCCTGGCACGGTGAGGCCCTGTTCACCAATCGCCTCGACTCTGCCCACATCTAAAAACAGGCTCACTCACTCACAGTGCACTGAATTTGCTAGGGACCTGACCTCGAAGTTGGTAAAATTGTCAATGGGGACCTATCTTGCCAGTGCTTACAGAGGAAGCTGTAGCTCCCCTACGATTCGATGTCAGACAAGGCCGTGGAAAGGAGGAAGGCAGGTGGTTAAGAAGTGGAGACTGTCAGCACTCATGAGGAACCAGCTTTGCATCTAAAGAAGGTCTGACAAAGAGGCAGCATATCACAAAGTGCGGAGGCAGCGGTGGTCTGGTCTCTTCCTTGGTTTCACACCTCCCAGTTCCGCTGCCTGGACACAGAAGAATAGCTTCTATCCTAACCAACCCTCCATTCTTTGTTTCCAAAGCCACAACTCTTTAAATCAAAGTACCATATAAGCACAGAATCACAGAAGTGTTACAGTACACAAGGAGACTACTCGGCCCATCTTGTCTGCACCAGCTCTCCAAATGAGCATGCTGACTTAGTTCCAATCTCCTGCCATTTCACTGTAACCCTTGCACATTACATGATTATTACTGAATGCCTCAACCGAATCTGCCTCCACCACGCTTCCAGGCAATGCATGACAGACCCCAACCGCTTGTTGCTTCAGGAGGCAAACTAGGACGATGCTCCGGCAGCCAAGTTCAAATTTTCAGGCGTGCATCTGGAATGATGCCTGATCATTAATTAGTCCATGCGCAACTTGACTGACATCTTGCAAAATTTCATGCCTGGCACAGAGCATGAGGAAGGCACAAAACGTGGGGGCTTTTGTCACAATACACACAACAGGTATGGACAGCTGATCCAACAGTAGATTTACAATTCATGTTAGCACGAAGATTTCTTGCCTTGGAAGCACAGGTGTGGCAGGTTCCAATCCCATTGCAGAGACTTGAACACAGAGATCTTGCTCAGTAAGATCAGCACTGTCAGTCACATCTCTTTTTGGGGGACATTAAATCCAGGCCCATCTAACCATCTCAGCCGGAAAGGATACCATGACACTACTCGTAGGGCAGGCTGGGGAGCTCCTACTAATGCCATATCTAAATAAAAACAGAGTATTTGGCCCCTTTTCTTAGCAGCTTACCAAGCACACAATGTCAGCAGTAATTACATCATGACAGGAAAGGCTGCACTTCACTGTCTGTAACAGCTCTGGGCTGCATGAGAACATGGAAGTTGCTTTATAAGTGCATTTTTATTTTTTTTCCTTTTACCATCTCCCAGATGTACTGTCTAAATCCCAAACTGACAAACGAGAAGGCAGCACAGTGGCTCAGTGGTTAGCACTGCTGCCTCACAGCACCAGGGTTCGATTCCAGCCTCGAGCGACTGTCTGTGTGGATCATAGAATCATGAATTCCTACAGTATGGAAGCAGGCCAGTCAGCCCATCGAGTCCACACCAACCCTTTGAACAGCATCCTACCCAGACCCACCACTCTATCCCTGTAGCCCTGCATTTCCCATGGCTAATCCACCTAGCTTGCACATCCCTGGACACTGTGGTCAATTTAGCATGGCCAATCCACCTAAGTTTTGGACTGTGGGAGAAAACCCACACAGACATGGGGAGTGTGCAAACTCCACACAGACAATCATCTAAGGCCAGAATCAAACCCGGATGCCCTGGGCTGTGAGGCTGCTAACCAGTGAGCCACCATGCCATGTGGAGGTTTGCACGTTCTCCCCGTGTCTGTGTGGGTTTCCTCTGGGTGCTCCAGTTTTCTCCCACAGTCCAAAGATGTGCAGGTTAGGTATACTGGCCATGCTCAATTGCCACAGTGACCAGGGCCATACAGGCTAGGTGGGTTAGCCATGGGAATAGCAGGGTTTACGGGGATAGGGTAGGGGAGTGGGTCTGGGTGGGATGCTCTTTGGAGACTCCATATAGACTTGATGGGCCGAATGGCCTGTTTCTGCACTGTAAGGATTCCATGATTTTAACAAACGACATTTTGGCTATAGTAAACAGGAGGAGTTAAAAGAAAAATCATTTTTAAGAACTCATGGTTCACAGTACCTGAAGGAGTAATGTGATGACCCTGACACTCTGGTTAACTCCCGTGGCACCAGTTAGGAGAGTTCAGCTCCAAATGGGACAACAGGCTGAGCAGAAACGACACCAAAGCCAACAGCCAATGGACTGGAGGTCATTGTGAGAGTTTGGCTCTTCCAGGTTGAGAGTCAGGTTATGCCCCTCTTACACAGATCCCGGCTCGCACAAAATTTTTTTGTTGTGCCTGAAAACCTCTACTCGCAAATTCCACTTCCACGGTGGAGGCGCCAACAGTTTTGAGACGTCCACAGTGTTGTGGTGAATAGAGTGCGCTACAGGAAAAGGAATCATCTGGAAGAGGAAGCTGTCAAACTACTTTTTTTTAAATATATGCACATTAAATTTAGTCTTATTTACTGCAATGTCAGGTTGCCTAGGCCGTCCCTAGCCAGCAGCCCTACGAAGGTTCTCCTGACAATATTTATAGATAAACAATGAGAGAAAAGATAGGTTTTGTCTCCAAACAGAAGTGTGTTTGATTTTTTTTCTCCCTCTCTCGGAGATACGTACCGAAGAGGCAACAGGTAACAAAGCCACACCTAGAATCTCTTGGCACCTCCAGGATAAACATGAGCAGATTCTGTAGCAGCAACCTGGAACAGGGACTCAGCTACCAGGGACAAAGGATCTGCCTTCATGACCTAACGCACAGCACAGTCACATTCAGGAGAGGACAATATCACAAAAGTTGCAATTTTCAAAAGGACTGCAGGAAGGCGGCAGCATAAGTTGAGAATGTGGTTTTTAAAACAAAATCGATGAGATGCTTGGACTGTACAAACAGGGGCAGGGAGTACACAAGCCAGGATACTAAGCTGATATTTTACAAATCACTGACTCAGAACGAAAGGAAACAATATTCTGCTCTTCACATCTCAAAACATTTGATAGCCAATAAAGTGTTCACTTTTTGAAGTGGATGCAATGTAGAAAATATAGCAGCTAATTTATGCAGTGTAGGCACCCAGAACAATGTGATTATGATTAGACAGTCTGATTTTTGAGATATTGATCAGAGGGTAAATATTGACCAGGACACAAGGGAGAACTACTTTTCTTTGAAGTAATTTGGAATACAGCGCTCAATTCTGGTCTCCCTGCTTTAAGAAAGACATTGTGAAACTTGAAAGGGTTCAGAAAAGATTTACAAGGATGTTGCCAGGGCTGGAGGGTTTGAGCTACAGAACAGGCTGGGGCTATTTTCCCTGGAGCATTGGAAGCTGAAGGGTGACCTTGTAGATGTTTATAAAATCATGAGGGGAATGGATAGGGTGAATGGTCAAGATCTTTTCCTCAAGGTAGGGGAGTCCAAAACTAGACAGCATAGTTTTAAGGTGAGAGGGGTAAGATTTAAAAGGGATCTAACGGACAACTTTTTCATGCAGAGGGTGGTGTTTGCATGGAATGAACTGCCAGAGGAAGTGGTGAAGACTGGTACAATGATAACATTTAAAAGGCATTTGGATGGGTACATGAACAGGAAGGGTTTAGAGGGATATGGACCAAATGCTGGCAAACAGGACCAGATTAATTCAGGATATTTGGTCTGCATGACGAGTTGGAGATGTGTTTCTGTGCTGTACATCTCTATGACTAATGCCATGTAATCATTTAGAACAATACATGCAGGATTTAACATCTTATTCAAAAGACGGCAGCTCCAACAATGCAGCACTCCCTCAATACTACACTGGAGCGCCAGCCTTACTTGCAGTGCGAATTCTGAATTGCTTACTTGATTTCTTAGTGACTATCTTAAATTGACGGGCCTGAATTTTACTCTTCCCCCTATTTAGAAGCATTCTTTGAATCTGAACTGCCAAAACACCCGAGAATTGCAAGGATCTCTGGTGTGTAAAATAGGACAGTGATTCAGAGTGGCAGAAAAGCTGTGAAGTGGGGTCTAATAGAATCAGTGCCAGGCCACTGTCGCTCACAACTTTATGAACAATCAAAACCTATTTCTAAATATAAAGGCCACACCAAACTTGGGAACTGGGCTTACGCAACACCAAGGGGTGTTGTCTATGGGCTGGAAGGATGTGAAAAGGTTAATATTTGTTCGAAATGAATAAACGCCACCCAATGTGATGAGGACTTGGTGGGGCGTGGGAGTAAAGTCACTGTCTCCCACAAGATCCTAAGCAAGTCTTTGTAGTTATGCAGACCTTGGTCTTGTAACCTGGAACTAGTTGCAGAGATGCAATAAACACATCCTGTTTACTCTACAAGGCTTATTAGATCAGAAGGTACCTACTTTCACATATTTAAGTCCCCTAAAGAACACACACATTTAGCAGATATGGTCAACATCATGCAGGAGCACCACAAACAAATGTTTCTAGATCTGTGATAAACATTGCAGAATGGGCATTTAACTGGCAAATAAATGTGAAGTATTGCATTTTGTTTAGAAAAATAAGGGAGCATGTTACTTGGAAGATAAGAATCGAAATACGTTGAGGAGCACGGGCAATAAAAATACATGAAATTACGTGAACTTATCACACAAGTCAGTCTGGTCATAAAATAGCAAACCAAAACTAGGGTGTACTTTTAGAGGAATCAAATTGAAAAGTAGAGAAGTTATAATGATATCAAGCCTTGATGCACTGTGTACCGTATTATAATTTATAAAGTTACAGTTCCTCTCATCTAGTCACTAATTTGGAAACTCCAGATTGTCATCCAGTAGCCATTAATTTATAAAACCCAACTGACTATCTAAAACCCAACTGAATCCTCTTCTGTCACACACCCCTCAGACTCACTGATCCTTCTGCCTTTCACCTGTGTTTCTCACAGAGGGAAGAGTCCCAATGTTAAACCTGTTGTTAGCAACTGGGTCCGGTTAAAACGGGGCAGAAAGTGGCTGATATGATGAACTATAAACATTGCTGTGTGCTCCAACAGCCATGCAATTCTAAAAAGAGAACACAGCTTCAGTGAATCTTTTACCTTAGAATGAGCTGTTTCAGGCTGTATTCAAGCCATGTTAGAGGCCAACGAAGGTAATCAGAGACCATTTCTGTCTCTTAAGTAAATCAGGAGCACATTTATCAGCTGCCTCAGAAGCACCTGCAAATTAACCGAGACAGACTGTACAGATGGAAGCTGGTATTGTACTAAACACACAAGAAAACATGACGACAGCTCAAATGTCTGTGCACCTCTACTGGAAAAGAAAAGCTAAATCTTCATCAACATGGGACAAAGCAGAGCAAATATTTAAATATGGGAATGGTCAAACAGCCTCATCCCTGTAACAGACACAAACTGCTGACTCACGGGGCAACTTTAGGCCAAGTCCAGGTCAAGGCCAGACTCCAAGTCTTGGCACTTGGCAAATCAAATGTCACAACTCAACTCCAAATGGGCTAGCACTGAAGTAGGCCATTCAATACGATCATGGCCGATTGAACATCTTAATGCCTTTTCCTCACCAAAAGCCTGTAGTCCACTTTTCAATCTCTGCCTTAAACATATGCAAAGATTGAGCTTCCTTAGCCCTGTAAGAGAGAATTCCAAAAGATTACAACCTTCTGAGTAATGTTTCAACTCAGTTGTAAATTTTGTTTTTATTCATTCATAGGATGCAGAGATGTGGTGAAGCCAACACTGACTGGCTATCCCTAACTGCCCGGGCGGCATATTTGCAGTTGGTCTGGATACACATAGTTCAGACCAGACAAGGATGGTAGTTCTTTTCCCTAAAGGACATTAATAAACCAAATGAGTTTTTTCTGACAAGGGACAATGTTTTTATGACCACCATTAGTTTCTTAATTCCAGAGTTATTTTGTCAAATTTAAATTCCAACATTTGGCACAGGGGGGATTTGAATCCTGTTTCCCAAAGTCTCTGGATTAATAGTCTAGCAATACTACCAGTAGGCCACTAATCCCCAGGCATTACCCTAATTTTTACATCGTGCCTCTGCTTCTAATTCCCCAACCAGGGGGAAAATCTCGTCAGCATCTACTCTGTCTATCCCTTTAAGTATTTTGTAAATTTGAATGAAATCACCTGTTGTCCTTCGATATTCTAGAACAGTCCCAGTTTACCCATTCTCTCCTCGTAGGACAGTCCTGCCAACCTGGGAACAAATCTGGTGAAACTGTGATTTAGATTGCAGTTGGGTTGAGATTTAGAATCGTTGTGGAGAGATCACTCAGTCTACTAGCCCTCTGCTAGTTCCATGAAGACAATCTCCATCTAATGCCATGTCTCAGGTCACAGTCCGGAGTCTTTGCAACAAGTCGGAGTCAAATATCAACCTCTTTTCTGTTTGAAATCTATTGTGGATTCCACCTTCCTCCCACTATTGGTGATCAGACACTATCCATCCCAACAACCTCTTGCATATAAAACATTCTCCCTACTTCCCTTTTGTTATTTCAAGCAATGGTTTCAATTGGATGCCCTCCAGTCACCAACCCAATGAGCAATGTCCCCAAATACCTCACCAAAACCCCCCAGAATTTTGAATTCTGAAGTATTGAGAGTTCAAAGAAAAATATAAAAAAAAAGTGATGAATTTTGAGGCAAAATGCACTAATTATGTTTTTCTTTCAAAAAAGTGGATTCCAAACAAGGAAGGGTTTTCAGCATCAAAACCCCAAGAATCTGCTGAAATGTCTCATTATCCCCTCAGAATTCCTTGAGGCAGAAATCAAATCAACTACCATTCACAGCAAGGTTTCACAACGAGCCAACTGACAATGGGAAATCTCTTTCAAGAAGGTTGGGTTGAGGGATAAACATTGCCCAGGACACTGGGGAGAAAATGCACCAAGGGATCTTTTACATCCACTGGAGCGGGTAGAAGTTGACCCGAGTATAATACCTCATCCTAAAAATGACAGCTGTGAACTCCCTCCATATCTTACGAGGTGGCAGCACTGATTTTACTGCACAGAGTGGAGCTGGAACCCCATGATCACGTGACACCAGAGGCAACGGTGCTACTGGGGGAGACAGTACTGATAATTTCAATAAACTCATAACCCAGCTTAGTATTCTTGGGGCATAAGTTCAAATCCTACCATGGCAGATGGTGAAATTTGAATTCAACAGAAAACTGGGGAGAAGAAAAAACACCAGCCTAGGGACCCATTGGTGCAGTGGTAGTGACTCTACCTCTGAAGCAGGATGCCCAGGTTCAAGTCCCACCTGCTCCAGAGGTGTATAATAGCAGGCCAATTAACAAAAAAAAAGCAAATACGTAACCACTGCTGATTATTGTAAACAAAACCCAT